GTCCGTTGCATATGTAATTTTGTTAAAACGTCATTTCGGCACGGATCAATTTCCTGTTTACATTCTTAACATCTTGAATATTTGATATCGTGCCGATCGCATTTGGAATCAGCCCCGCCTCCCCCTTCTGAAATAATAATAATAATAATGCTCGCGGCGTAATCAATCAACTGTTATAAATCTATGCAAATTCGTTTCGATAACGCAACGCGTACGCCATGACGTAAATTTGTATAAAATGCGCCGTCAGATTGTGCGCTGCGTGATTTCGAGATTTCGAAGGATAATTTCTTTCTAGTTTTTAGGTGAGGTTGTAGCTGCTAGTTTATACACACTGTGGAAGATTCTCAGCCATCGTCCCCTTCGTTTTTTCCGCGTCACGTTGCGCGACTCTCCTAATTTAGAACGTCTGGAGGACAATGACGCGCGCAGGAGGACATCCAGAAACCTGTTCGCGCGGCGTGGCGCGCAAATACGATCCCTCCTGGCACTGGTTTACACGGAAAAGGTGGCTCGTCCTTTGTGCGCGCGGCGGGCCAGCCAGGATCCTATGGGTACGTTCCCATGCAGGCTGGTTCAACAGTGCCGTGTCGTTCGATCAACACGCCCTCCACCCTATGCTCCTTTGTCTCGTTACCTCGCTGACGCAACAAACGTACTCCGCTCTCGTCCCTTTTCACTCGCCAAAAAGAAAAAAAAAAAGAAAAAAAGAAAAACCAAGCGGTCGTTCGTCTCTTTAAAATTTTTCATAAAATTATTTTACAGGGATTATTTTTTAACTGGAGGTTAAGTTGGAATGTAAATTCATTAAAATAAAAATTTATCACAATTTAGCCATAAAATTGTTTCAGAGTTTAACTTTAAAACAATTGTCAACTTTGCTCCCATTTTTGTTCGGATGTAAATTCGTAAAACCAGGAAGATTGCAAGCGAAATGTTTGCTTAGCGCATAAATTTGAATTTGAGCTTAAGTCTGAATTTGAATTTGAATTTGAATTTGAAATTTTAATTTGACTTTGAATATGTGTGTACATGTAAGTCAAATTTGAATTTGGATTTGTCTTCAAACACTCGCTGAAGCTCTCCTCTTGTCCAAATCGCGGAAACAACGTGGTAACATTCTGTCGTGGGACAGGCTATTGACAATTCTCTTTCACTTGGCGATGTTGGTCATCATTTCGTCAACTTGAAACGAAAGGCCGCTGTTGAGAACGCGGCTTAAGGAGACGCGTCTACTCATTCTGTAACAATTTCCGCTCATCTGTCTTGGCATTTGCCTTTGTAATAAACGTTTCAAGTTGCAATGAGACTTTATGAACGCTAACGCGGTGTTATAAAATGGCATCGTCTATCAAAAACAGAGGATCACTGGTAAGAAATCGAGTACCGCCATTTTGTGCTTCGTGCAGCCAATGCCGCCGTACAGCGCCACAGTATAAATGACCAGTTATATAAATTTTACTATTATTAAACAAAAGGCTTTTACGTAATTCGATTATTCGTATATGGATTGTCGTTAGAAGAAAGAGAAAGAGTAAGAGAGAGAGAGAGAGAGAGAGAGAGAGAGAGAGAGAGAGAGAGAACGCCATTTCGCGTTCGGCGTTACGCAACGTCGTTGTCGTACGGGCTTTATGTAATCCGCGCCGATCCTAACGAATGGCTTTTCGAGTATATATTAATCGGTGGATAGATCGCGTGTGCGACGTCCAGCGACAGGAAGAGGCCACCAGAGGATTCCGAGAAACGCCAGGGACGTCGCGGTAGCTCGCAGTGTTTTATTTTAGACCGTTCGATGCAGTTTTCTTACGCCGTGCTCCGTAACGCGTCGCTTCTTCTTTCTTCTCCCTCTTTCCTTTTCGTTTTTTTTTTTTTCCTGTTCCCTTTCGTTTCACGGCCTATTCCTCCCCTTTAAGGCTCGTTCACACGGTCCCGGGCCCTTTCGTTCAGTTCACCTTCTGATCTCATTTTCCTCGCTCTGTGATTCTTTTGACGACTGTGACCATGAAGTGTGAAGTGAAGAAGATTCTTCTTCTTTTTTTGTTTTTTTTTCTCTCATCACACGTGCGTTACGTCGAATTGTAATATAATTGATTTCAACTGCAATTTCTTTCGTGTGTATTTTTAAAACTTTTTATACGCTGTTTTTTTTTTTTTTTTGTCGAGTGAATTTCGAATTCGTTGCGATTGGTGGCTTTAAAGGACACTCGCGCGTGCGGACAACGAATGAGATTTTTATCCGGCCATATTCGTTCGGCGGGATATTTATAATCGAAGGTTAACGTTTCGATTTCTTGCACCGTTTTTGCCGAAGGAATTCGACGAATCCGTGCGATCGAGATTCCACGTGCCGCGGCGGGTTTTGCTTTTCAAACGTTCCCCGCGGGGAAAAGTCGACCTCGCGAGAAATATTCGAAACGCGCATATTCAGTTTACAAACAACACTCGTTCCAGGCGAGTTAAAAACAAAAAAAAAACAAAAGAAAAAGAAAAAGAATTGTCGGAGTTTTCCATGTCGATGTGCCGATTATTCCACCTTGAAACGCGTTTCGAAGAAATTCTATGTTTCCCCGACATTGTGACACGAAAGCAATTGGAGATCGATTGTGCCGCGAATACCATTGTAATTGGAGGACATTGAAATGTTACGCGTTACGTAAGCTTCGACCAGCGAAAAACAAAGTTGCAACGCGGCATTTTCTATTCGCGATGCGACTCTATTCAGTCGACTTATGGTTTGTGAAAAGGAAACAGAAGTTATCGTCGTTACTTTTCCATCTTTAGACTCCACGATTTGAAAAAGTTAAAGCAGGCGATTAAGGTGGCTTTGCCGTTGCATCACGGACGGATTATTCCGCGTTAGGTATTTCCAATTTACCTTTTGTATCTTGATACGTGTTTATAGATAGAAACTCCACTTTGAAACTCGCTTCTGATATTTGAATTACGATTCGTATCTGGGCCTTTGTGCCTAGCTTCAAATCGACACAAGTGACGCTAAAACTCAATATGAGGTGAAAAAAGAAAAAAATTTTCAAAAGGGAGCAGATGTAAAGCAGAAAAATTGCAAAAAAAGTTAATCATAAAAGAACATCCAAGAAGAATCGTCAAATAGACCAAAAAAAAAAAAAAGGAGGGGGAGATTCGAAATGCGTCCATCTGGGACTTTTTCCGTTGGAGGAATTCTTCTGCAGCGCCACTTTCGTCGTCGTTCGTTTCGGTAACCTCAACGAAATCCGTGAGAAACAGTGGCTCGCGTTGTGCCTTCGTGTGAACAGGCCTTTACGGCCGCGAATCCGCCGCCAGCGGAGACGCACGAGGGCCTTCTTTTCCTTTAGACCTGGCACTTCCTCTCTTATGCACAGGCTACCCCAACACAAAGCGGCGTTTTCTACGCGGCTCGGAGCCGCGCTGTGCAAGGTCTCCCGTTCGTTTCCCTCCCGCTCAATCTCCCCTCGCCTCTTCATCGCTCCTCGTCCTCTTTCCATAGGCGTCGTTCCATCCTCGTCGCGTTCACGGCTCTTTCTCGGGGGCCCTCGTCGTGCCCTCTCGGTTCCTCACCTTGCTCGGCCGCGTATTCTTTTCGCCTATGCGACCGTGTGCACGTGCATATACCGGGTGTCCTCGAAATTCCAGTATTTCGCCCGTGAAGATGATCTGGGAATAATAATTTTATTTACTAATGCTACTTACTTTACTTTACTTTATTCATTTAGTAGTATGTTACTTTATTTATTTGCTGCTTCATTTGTAGCAATTTATGGTAATCTATCATCAAACAAAGCACTCGTTCAAACATAGTGAAATTTTCGTTGAATTAGCTTTTGGTTTAGCCTCTGTCGAAAGGAACTGCGGTCGGTTTCGTGAAAAAAATTATTGCTGCACTCTAGTCGGTGGTTAAGGAACGTTTCGTTTGATGCATGATTCAATTGTCGCGCATGCGTCGGAGAATGGCCAATCAAGATAATTTATGGTCATACATTTCGACTTGTTCTTTGAATAATGAAAGAATTATTGTAGGATGTTTGATTTGTACGTTTTCCGCTATATGGTTAGATTGTAGAGATGTTTTGCAATTTAAAATAACTCGCTCTCGCCTAAGAATGATGTTCTTTTTGCCAATATGTGTCTGCGATCTTTCATTCTTCCTGAAAAAAAAAAAAAAAAGAAAATGTTTGACTTGTGTCAAGTGTGTATGAGACGTGCATATCGATTTCCAACATCTAACGAAACATATCACGGCAGAACGATCGTGAGTCAAGCGAACAGCAACCACAATAAAAATCCACGTCCAAAGTCGCGGATTGCCTCTTGGCAACCGAACGGCTGCTCCCACGAACCAGACAATGGTCGAATAGCATCTTACACGTTCCAACGTTTGGCGCCTCGTATTGTATTACCGATCTTCAAAGTTCTCCTCAACTCGTGACAACGTCAATTAATTAGGAATAATAAATTTACTTTAAATTTGTCGCGATGCATTTCTCGACAATTAAAAAAAAAAAAAAAAAAAAAAAAAAAGGAAAAATCTTTCAATGGATCTATCTGAACTTCAGATCTTTTACGATACGGAGGGCAGTAAATAGCTGGTATATAGAAACTGAATAGAAATATTATTTAAAATAATTTTAAGAAGCAATAATAGTAAATAATTTCATATTAATAAATATGTTAAAACTGCCTTATACATGTTGTATCAATTTATTTATAAATCCTCTGTTCGAAAGCAAGTAAATTATTTCTACCGTGTTCGTATTTCTATTAAAAATTGCGTTGCGTGCAATCTGCTTTAGTTCGAACAACAGATGCTTTACATGGATCGTATCTCCCTTTGCAATAGTGATGCAATCGTGCTAACCGAGCATTTGATCAACTTCATTCTGAAACGAACTAGAGGAGCGATAATGAAATTCAAAGCAATGTAAACAAGCGCATCGTGTCTCGATCGACCTTTTCTTTTCTTTTCTTTTTTTTTTTTTTTTTTTTTTATCAACGCTGTCATTGTACCGATCCCATCGTTTCTGTGGTAACTCACCAATATTCCCAAATAGGTAATGCTATTGATGATAGAAAGAATGGTGGTGCTTAAACGTATGAACTGAATTTACCTGAATTTGATTTGATGATTTGTCATGTTTAGTGTTTGCAACTACCTTTGTTTTGTTATTTCAGCCCCATGGACCCATCCGTACCTCCCAAGCACCCAGTAGTGAGGTACGTTGCTACATACCATAATACCATGGTCCATACACTCTAATTTCATATTTTATCCGTTACATTCTGTTACACTCTTTTTTTCTTCTTTTATTTTTATTCTTTTGTTTCTTTCTCTCTCTCTTTCTTTCTCTTTTTTCTTGTCACCGCTTTTTCTATTTCTTTTCTTTCCTTTCTTTTTCCACCTCCCCCTTTCGTTTTTGCGTTCGTTTGTCACAGACCTCGTTCGAGTCTGTCTCTTTACTTGAATTTTTCTATCGAGACGCTTGACCGCAACGTACATCCATGCAGATTATTTCATTACGACACGTAGAATATAGGTTGGGCGCCTCTTTACAAATTCGAAGAACAACGTTGCGAAAAAGAATATTCACAGAAAATATCAGACACTTCAAACAATACGTATACGATACTGATGCGTTGATTGTCACGCAATAATAATTATAATTGTGTACGAATAACCCGAGTAACCGAGTGATGGGTAGAAAAGAATGTATCTCATAGGGACAGTATGTTTCTAATACAGTTTTCTCCATGCTGTCTCCTCTCTCCCTTCTTTTTATCTATCCACCTGTCTGTCTATCTATCTTATCACTATCACCTTCCTATCAATTATCTCTCTTCTTTTCTTTCTCTCTTATCCCGCAGCTCTACGAATGCTAGGTCGAGACGATTTTTTCTTTTCTTTTCTTTTTTTTTTTTTTACCTTTTTCTTTTCTGATATCCTACGAGTAGATCGCGAGAGACAGGCAAAGAAAAGAAAGAAAGTGTCCGTGTACGCGCAGTTGCGTGTTACACCTATGAATGAAATGAAATGAAATGAAATGCAACGAAAGGACAGGAGAAGAAAGGAAAGCGTCGCGATACACACTGTCGTCGTCACGCTGTTTCGCATTCGAGATCTTTTGACCGATCTCTATGCACAGAATTAGAACATTTCTCCGCAGAGTTATTAGCTTCTCTCTTTTTTTTTTTTTCCTACCCCTGTACAAACGTGTCAGTATGTATGCGACACATCTTGCATGTATGCACGCATGTCACGTTTTTTACGTTTGCGTCTTTACGAAGCATTCGATGATCCAACGAAATGGCTTTATGGAATCTTAATGCACGTGTTCCGCAACTATCGAGATATCAATGAACCGACGAGAGAGGAGAGGAACAGAGATGCGATATGACGCAAGAATGCAAAATTGAGACCAATACACGTGTCAGTCGTTCGAAACAACGCGCCAATTGAACGAACAGATTTAAAACGTTCTTTTGTTACAGCGGTGCAACCACTAACGATGAGCAGGTTAAACCACGCAGTCTCCGTTTCACTTGGAGCATGAAAACCACGAGTAGTCGAGATCCGAACGAAATCATGTCAGAAATACGAAAGGTATTACACTGAATCGTATATCTTTAAAACGTTTCTCTTTGAAAAAAAAAAAAAGAGTATAGTAATTTCGTGGATATTATGATATATCTGTCGAAATTCTAATACCAAAGCGAAAAGAAAGAGATTTATTAATTAGAGATTACGATTTTGAACGTTTACTAAAATACATAAAATGCTTATGTGGCACGTAAAATTTTAATTTTTGATATTTGGCTTACAAAAGAAATTATCTTCCACCAATATTCTATGAAATTTGAAAAGATTGAACCACTCATAGTATCGTGATGAATTATTTCTCGGTCTTTAATGAGTTGAGACACTTGTACGTGCACATAATACGTTCAATCATTAAGTATTATATATAGATAAAAACCTGTGTTCACTTTATATAGTCGAAACTAGTTTGTATCGAGTCATGTGGTTCTAAAGACATGTTCTTGTTTTTATAACATCGGAAATCTGACACATTAAGTCGAGATTTTTTATTTTCGACAATTTAGAGAAAACACGAAACCTCACAGTAGTCAATTATATATGTACATACTACACTTAAATACACATGTGAACACACGTAATAGAAGACGAATACTGGTGTATCGAAAATTATGCGTGTTCTTTGCACGCTGGTGAAACAGGGACTAATTGTTATTAACGCGTGTGTCAATTTTTAGGTATTGGACGCGAACAAGTGTCAGTACGAGCAACGCGAAAGGTTCCTGCTTCTCTGCGCACACGGCGACGCGGCGACAGACAGCCAAGTACAATGGGAGATCGAAGTCTGTAAACTGCCACGGCTTTCTCTGAACGGTGTACGGTTCAAACGGATCTCAGGCACGTCGATCGGCTTCAAAAACATTGCTAGCAAAATAGCGAACGAACTCAAGCTGTGACTGCCGACAACTGGCGCCCTATCCACTCGCGCCAATCCATAACGCTCTCGTGATCGATGACACGGATTCACGGTTACCGACGACTTTCATTTTTCCTTCTTCTGGGACTCTAATCCGGTCGGCGATATCGGCACCGATACCGACACCGACACCGACACCGATATCGATATCGAGTCCGACACTGATTCCGGTTCTCGTTCTGGTTCCGGCCCCGGTCTCAGTTCCGGTTCCGGTTCCAACTCTCATTCCGATACCAATAACCGAGAAATCTTCGTTTGAATCTTGTCCCAGTCGAGCAACGAAAGTAAACGTCGGCCGAGTCGAGCTCTCACTGATCATTGATCACCGGTCACCGATCCAACGATCTATCAACGCGTTACGCCGTCGTCCCGTGTTAATTCTTCGAAAGCCTCGAAAACAAATCACTGTAATCCGTGACCGTTGAACGCGCGCGTATTCAAATACTCCCGAGTGCCAAAAAAAAAAAAAAAAGAAAGAAAAGAAAAGAAAAGAAAAAACGAAACGAAACGAAACGAAACGAAATGAAGCGAAAGGTCGGTTCATTCGTGAAATCGTCTGGACGCGGAACAATACAATGAGAGAAGACTGTCGTGTGGGAGTGTGAGTAGAACTGTGGAGAGGTGTTGATCGGACAAAGATGTGAATGAATCCAATGGCGCCACGGAGAAGGGAAAAGACGCGGAGGCAAAAGGAAGGAAGAGAAGGGGAATCGAAATAGAAAATCGACCAACGAGTCGAACGTGTACCGCGTGTCGAACACTACACGACCGTGGTAAAACACTGTTTCTCTACATGTTCTTCTCGTTTTGGCATGCAAAGGACAGTTCCTGACAACTTCGATAACCCGAAGATAATCGTACGCATCGTCGTATCGATCGTTTCGAGACGCCCGATGCCCATCAATCGTAACTCTCTCGATCGCGCACGTCACGCCAGTACGGCCCGCCGTCAAGTTGAAAACGCTAGACGCTTACACAGTATTATGTACTCAGAGCAACGTTCGTTCGCAACACCGTCTCCTGTGGCAACTGTGAAAAAAAAAAAATCGCCGTTTTGCGTAACCTCAGCCAATCCTGTATTCGCTTACGCTCTTCTTCCTCGGAGTTACACTCGATCTCTTTTGTATTTTCCAATTTCTTTCTCCTTGCCTTGTTCATTTGTCGAACTCGTTAACGGGAGGGTAGGAGGGGGAGGAAAAAAAAAGAAACAGAAAAAAGAAAAAAGAAACACGTTCTACGTCTTTATTTGCTACATCTTTAAACTGTGCCTAACGAGATGCGTATCGATGAAATTGATGATACTTTCTTCTCCATGCGGGAGAAAAGGAGACGGGAGCAAAGAAGAAGAAATCGGAAGGGCCAAGATGAAAGGAAGAGACGGGATGAATAGGAGAGACAAGAGAGGGCCGCACTCTTCGGAGAAAAGTGGATGTTTTGATCGAGACGTTCGATCGAGAGCCGCGCGCATTGTGCAGAATACCTACTATATCCGAGAGTCTTTCTTTTCGCAACGTTCACTTTTTCGAATTGTTTTATATATGTAAGGAGCACTTAAGAAGACAAGCGGTCTGTTTGTACATAATCGATCAAACTATTCGAATAATCTGTAAAGGAATACGTAGACTTTTACTCGTACACATACGGGAGGAAAAAAAGCATCTTCACACACTTGTCGTTCGTTGAACGTTTGAAAGGAGTTCAACCATTTCGATATATTATACCGCGAGTGTATATCAACACGCACGCGCCGAACCATTTACACACTTTCAAATATTTTTACAACAACCTACTTTTTTATCTATATCATAAGTTTAAAAACAAAAAAAAAAAAACCATGCGACACTGTAGGCAGATCAGCCAAATTAATTAATTAACGCGTTATTACTATTACTATTATTATCATTATCATTATTATTAATATTATTATTATTATTATTATTATTATTATTATTATTATTATTGTTATATATATATATTTTTATTTTTATTTTTATTAATATTATACCGATAACGTTACGACACAATGTTAAACGTATCGGGACAGAAGTAGAGAAAGAGGAGCCACTAATTATCGTAACTTAAGGATTATTATCGATCGAATCTACTCGTATATATCTCGCGCAAGTAACAATGCAAGTACTTTGCTCCGAAAAAAGGGAAGAAAAAAATAAAACAATTCCGGAATAATACCTAGCAAATATGCACGCGCGCACGACATCGTCGATAACGAGATCTGTTATTTCTACGAAGGATACTATGTAAGATTATATTTAAGTATTGTAATTGGCTATATACTATTACGCTATTTAACCTTTTATTCGCAAATGTAATCGCGATTAAATGAAGTTAAATTAGGAATTATTGTAAATGTAGAGGCGACTAGAGAGACTTGGTGTATATATATAATATAATATACGAAGGTACTAAATTAACCAAATAAATGAAGCCTCACACACCGAGAATGCAAATAAGAAATTGAAAAAAAAAAAAGAGAAAACTGCGAAAGGAGAGAAAGAGGGGGAGAAAGAGAGAATGAGAGTGAGTGAGAGAGAGAATGAATGAAAGAGACAAGGAAAGCAGAGCGGAAAAAAGGAAGAGGAAACGTGAAACAAGAGGGGAAAGGAAAAAGGTGCGGACAAAACGAGGAAAACGAAAGAAAGTTCGAGACTCGAGTATCGCGCGATCTTTTTATATATTTGCCTAAGATTAATCGTCTACGTTACACAGGCAGGCAGTGACTAATTTATTTAAATAAATACAAAACTCGAATGATTTTTTTCAAGTTTCTAACGTGTTGACGAAACACACGAACGTGCCTCCGAAATGTCGAGCAAAAGTCTTCATTTTCGATTCGATGAAAAAATGTCCATTGTTCAGCGCGCATGTTTCTCCGGCGCACGGTTCTTTCGAGTCGCCGTTAACGACCAAGTATTATTATTATTACTTTTTTATTATTATTTTTATTTTTATTTTTATTATTATTATTATTATTATCATCATCATCATCGCCATCATCATCATCAACGATCTGTGACAATGTCGTTCTCGCGTTCGTAGAACGAATTCGCGAAAACCAAATTTTCGATCTACGATAATGAACTATTATGCATGTAAGCGTTTAAGTGTAACCAGCATCGATATTATTTCCTTTGATTATATCCGCAATAAGTTGCAAAGGGGATCGTTTGTCGTTCGACTAGTGGCCAATGAAGCTTCACATTTTCAAGTGACATTCGCATCGAGCTCCTCGATGAGAACGCGTGATTGCGCAATCGAGGACGCGATTTTGCGTGAATAATGATGTTGTAACACAGCGATCAGGAGATCTTCGCGAAAGTCGAATAGCCTGCCCAAAATTTACCGATCCGAGAAACTCTCCCTTTGTCGATTCCTTTATGTACAAAAAGAAAAGGGAGGAGAGAAAGGAAATGAAAACAAAAAGAACAGACAGAAAAAGGGAGGAGGAACGACAGATACGAAAAAGCATAAAAGTATTGCAAAGGGGAAAGGGGAGGGGGGGGGGGGGGGGGGAGAGAAGAAGGATATAGAATCACGCGTGTCGATGAAAAAGAAACACCACCCTGTGCAAGTCCAGATGCAGTCGTCGTTACGCAAAAAAGAAAAAAAAAAGAAAAAACAAAAAAAGACACGACATACTGTAGAAAACTGTATCTTTACTATAGCGATTATGAATTAATGTTACAAAATAAGATCCTTCGGTAGCGTTAATGATATATTCCTTGTAAGATGCAAGTAGGCGCGAAAACGGTACTCCACTGTAACGATATAAATACACGTTCGTTCATTCGTTCGTTCGTTCGTTCGTTCGTTCGTTCGTTCGTTCGTTCGTTCGTTCGTTCGTTCGTTCGTTCGTTCGTTCGTTCGTTCACTCGCTCGTTCGCCGCTCGCCATTCGCTTGCTTCGTCAAATATATAATGTAAATTGATGATCGACGCTTAAAGAGGAGAACTCGAGAGTTTAAAGAGGAACACTAGTGGAACAAGTAAATCGTAATGATGGAAAAAAGCTGAACGGATGACAGACACACCAATGCAGCGATTCGAAACGGCGAGCGCATGGTTCGCTCGTGTCGCGCGTCTCTACCCTCATCGCGCCGCACCGGCGAAAAGCTTTTGTGATTTTTCTATTATGTAAGTAGTAAAAAAAA